CCTGGGCAGCTCCCCCACCTGGCCGCCACCCGCTGTACCCCCCACACGGACAGAATCCCCCTCTCACCTGCAGGGACACCTGCCAGGGCCAGGAGCCGGGGACAGCGTCCTCCCCATTGACGATCCTGGACAGGCCACTCAGCACGGGGTGGATGGCGGGGACCCCGCAGCCTGGGGTTGGAAGTGGGGGAAGGTGTGGGTGCCATGCCCCAGGGGGTCGCACTTCCTCTCCACTCTCCCCTTTCCCAGGCTCTGGGATCCAGCCTGGCTCCCTACTGCCCTCCCTGCCTCAACGCCCCCATCCCAGAGAAGTCAGCCTTGACTCTCCTGCCCAGCCCTGAAATCCCCTGGGAATGACTCCGTCTCAGCTCAGGAAGCAGGTGAATCGGGCCCCATTCCCACCTCGGCCCCAACAAGCCAAACGGGTTGAGTGTGAGGTGGGCAGCAGGCCCGCAGCACAGGTTGGGAGGCCGGGCTGATCTGGGGGCAGGGACCCTGCTGTCCCTTGCTGGCCTCAGGGTCGGGGGTGAGGAGAGAACCCTCCCACCTCTGCAAGGCCCAGCACTCACTGAGGGCGGTGCCCAGGAGGGCCCAGCAGGAGAGCAGCCAGAGGAAGGCCATAGTGGGTGGTCAGGAGGTAGAGGATGCCTGCCTGGAGTTCCCTCCTTATATCCCTGTGCACCTAGCTGTTATCTGGAGACCTTGAGGCCATAAGCCCTTCCCTGGGAGGGTGCCAGAATGGGTAGGATGTACTGGCGAGGGACAGGCGTGGGAGCCTGGGATGGCAGCAGCTGCGGTCCCAGCCAAGCTGGGCCAAACCAGGTGGCCTCTGCCCAAACAGCCTCTCTCCTGCAGGCCTTACCTTGTGAGGGCCCTCCAGGGCTTTGAGCAGAAACCCTGAGTCTGAGCCCCTGCTCAGCTTCTTGTGGCCAGGAGGACCTGGGACTAAGAATTTAGTTGATTTGTGAGTTGTTTGAAAACCCGTGGGCAGTGTGGTCTTGTTGGGGGGATGTTGGAGCAGGCCTGTGCCCCACGGCCCAGAACAGGGGCCAAGGATGCTCCCCCCAGTCTCTGTGAAGACTCAGTTGATGTCTGTGGCAGTAACTTGGGCTGTGAGTGGCTGGAGCACCCCTGCACACAGGCGCCCATGCACCCAACCCTGGAGCTGAGCACATGGCATCCCGAGGCACAACTAGGCCTTGGGCCTAGCCAGGAGTCCTGCCATCCCTCTGAGGAGAGCTGATGGGAGCTACACCCCAGGTAGATGGGGCAGGGAGACTTGGTTCCTGGTTTGGGTGACAGGGTGGACAGTGGATTCCTTTCCCAGCAACTGGGACACTCGAGAGGTAGACATTTTGGGTTGAGGTTGACAGGTACACCGCAAGTTCCCCAAAATGCATAGGGGAAGGATACTTCCTGGTTGTTTTTATTTACTTTTTTTTTTTTTTTTAGAGAGGGGTCTTGCTCTGTCCCCCAGGCTAGAGGGCAGGGGCACAATCATGGCTCACTGCAGCCTGGG